CTGTTTGGTTTCCAGCTCCCTGATGGCCTGCGCCGCTGTGCCATTTTCCAGTCCCAGAAAAGTGATGCAGGGCACCAGTCGAGTTTTGAATTTGTAAGCATGAAGCCAGGTTCCGAATCCTTAGTTGGTTCGGAAGAGTGCCAAGCCACTTACACTTTATGGCCGCCATGTTTCTACTAATTTTTTGGATCCTGTTTTCAGGGCCATGATGAAGCAGGCTTGTCGCCAAACACCAAAGTCCTTGGCTGCTAAATGTCTTGTTGGCGTTGGTTTGGAGCTGCTGAATTTCTTGACTCCTGTCTGCGTGGACTGATTGTTTTGGTTGCTTGCATTTGGTGCAGGTGGTTGTTTGTTTTGGACAGATGTCGTTGACACACTTCCTGGATCTGGGTTGGTGGGTTGGTCATGGTTCTCGATGACGATTGCAATGAGGTCAAGGTCGATGAGACTTTTAGCCATTCTAAAAAGCAGTTTCCAAGGTCACCCCAGAACGTCGAACCTCATACATGCCTACATGGAAGGTATTCAGGTGAGTTCAGGTTTATCGGAAGTTTCCAGAGAGCAAGACTGTAACGGGTATAAACTTCTAAGACAGCTGGCACGGGAATACTCTTTGAGAAGTCGTGGAGAAGCTCTTGCATTTCGGACTTCGTTAGCAACCAAGACCTTTGTGGTGCCCTCCAATGAAACCTCTCCGTCTTCAGGTCAGCGATACGATTCGCCGCATTGATTGAGTGTGCCAAGTACGAGAGGTTGCTGAGCAGTTTGCCGTCGAATGTAGATCCCGTTGGACTACAGGTTTCAGATGCCGATATGCTGATGATGCTGGTAAGAATTTCCCCCAATGTCTCGCTTCACTTTCCAGTGTGAGTGTGGTGACTATCATTGCCGTATTACGGCATTACAGCCTCTAGGCACCAATGAAGTGCTCAGCAGCTATCTTGATTCTGACAAAACTGCCCAGGCCTAGAAAGTGTATTTTGCTGATACGAACACAGCAACAATTTTTATCCCGCACCCACTGTCAATTTGGGAATAGACCGAGAGAGGACAGCGAAAAGCCAAGACGGTCAACAAAAAGGAACCTTGGCCCATGAAAAGCGTAAAGTTGCAACGGCCCTTTCAATGAAGGTGAACCTGTTTAAAAATGAGACATTCATGTGCATTTGCTCCAATTTCAGCCGTATTCTCCCTCATCCTTACATTTTTTGTTTTGTTGCAATTTCTATAGCCTCGAAGCTGCCTCGAAGCCTGCTTTGAAGCCTGCCACCAGGCTCATCATTTAGGATTGTTTGTTTTGCTCCAAGTTCGCATGGTCGAGAACCGGAGACTGCCAGAAGTATTGCGCATGCCAAGCAAATCAAACCTGCAGGGGCGACAGCAAAGTTAGCGCAAAACAGCGCGCTTTCTGCAAGACGGGAAAAAGTCATTTGCATCCTCTGTTGCAACACGGTGAAAACTGACAGCGTTTAGTGCAGATTTTGGTTGGCCCATGGTGATTTCGTCTTTTTTGTTTGTTGTTGTTTAATTTTATGGACCTGTCAACATGACACACAAGTTGTCACTGCATGCGCTGAGATGATAACAAGCTATCACCTCTCGCCTCAACAGATCTATTTCACCCATAAACTGGAACCTGTCACGTCGGTTTTGTGGCCTTGTGGTTGTTTTTCTTTGTGTGTTTTTGGTTTGTTTGTGTTTTGTTTGTGTTGTTTTGGTGTTTTTGTTTGCTTGGTTTTTGGTTTTCGGTTCTCCGTTTTGTTCTCTGGAACGTGACAAAGCTTTTAGACTATGTATCGGTCCTCTTCCAGTTTACTTTTGCGGCCACTACAGCATCGGCCCCTGCGTGAATTCAATAATTAATCTCATTTGCAACATGCTTGGATAGATGTTGAACGACCTGACGGAAGCCACACGGCGTTGGACGGAAAAATTAGTGCAGATTTTGGTGGCAGGTGCGGTATTTACGGCGGTGACGCTGAACCTACAGAGGGTGAGCGTTTAGTACGACAGTTGTGGCACTACATGCCTTTACCGTGGAAAAAACCAGCAACACAGGTCCAGCGTGCAGCGTGTAGTGGCTCTTTTTTCTAAACTATATTGATCTTTAAACAAAATAATTACAACCGAACGCCAGGAAACGGCGAAAATGTGTCTCCGGCCATAGCGCGGAGCGTTTAGTGGGGTACTACACGCCCAAACGGTCACATCTAAAAATCGCTGTTTTACCACAGTGCGAAGCGTTTAGTACCGATTTTGCTGGCATGCGCAGTATTTGCGCTCTGCGTCGCGCCAAAATCACAGAGGGTGAGCGTGTAGTGCCGCCAGTTGTGGCACTACACGGCAGGTTTCTGTGCACAAACCTTGGCAGGCGCACTATTTCAAAAGGAAACATGGCCACCCCACAGCTTAAACCCTGCCGCGGCTGAAGCTGTGAGGTGGCCACGTTTGTTTGTCAAATACTTGCCACGGGCTAAGCTGTGAGGTGGCCATGTTTGTTTGTCAAGTACCGCAGTTGTCAGGGTTTAAGTTGTGAGGTGGCCATGTTTGTTTGCAATATTTGCCACAGGTTGAGATGTATGGTTGTTTACTTCTGAAATGCTGCGCTTGCCACGGGTTTAAGCTGTGATGTGGCCATGTTTGCTTCTGAAATATTGTGCCTGCGACGGGGTTGTTAGCTGCCAAAGTACTGCGCCTGCCACGGCCTTAAGCTTTTGAAATATTGGGCCTGCCGCTTTAAGAGATCTGTTGAATACGCCCCGCTCCCCAGCGGCAATGCTGCGTCAGTGTGAGATGGACTGAAGCTGTCATATGCTTCTTTACAGCGTTCCACAGCAGCATTGCCGCCGGGGGTGTGGGGGTTCTGCGCTGCCCGCGCAAAAACTATCGGGAGAAAAAATGCAGGATCACATGGAGGTGAGGCCATGGCGGCCACATGGTATGTTCTTTATTTCGCAAGAGAGTCGGAACATATCGAGGGACGAAAATCTGCATGTGCTTTGAAGTCAAGGTCCCGCACGGGGCATGTGTCCTCATTTTGGACTGCAGGCTTTCATGAAAGCAATGGATATCTTGGCTGGTAATCATCGCCAGCGTTTTTTGGTTTCAGATCATTCAGTCTTGACGTGTATTATATAGATTCGAGTCCCCGTGAGCCTCGCTTTGTCCTCGTACCATTACGTTTTGCGTCCGAGGCCTGGCCTCGGGCAGGCCTCGGTGAGCTTCGGAGCGCCTCGAATGCCAACAAACCTGCTTCATCATGGCCCTTAAAACAGGGCCGAAAAGCTTACGGTCAACGTGTTGATAGTGCATTAAATTACAGCTGTAGAAAAGCCATTTTGGCTCAAGTGGCCTTTTCGCTTCAAGGGAAAAATTTGTGCTAGATGCGGCGCCCGGTTCATCCCACTCAACGTGGGCAAACTGCAGTTGCGGGCCTTATCTGCCTTGGACATTCAGCTTCCAGTTCTCCATCTCGACCTTTCTGGCCTATTTTCATTGTGATTTCTGTCAGTTTTGCTGCTGGATTTTCATCGTGTTTTATTTGGCTTCTTTCCGGTTATTAGGGGATGCAGAAAAGCTCTGACGAAAACCCTGGTGGAGGACATTCCTTCCCCGATGTTGCACTTGGTGATCCAACACAACAGACTCAACTGGATGAAACTGGTTCTTTTTCCCATGATGTTGATGCTGCTCCATTCCTGTCAGGTGCCCGTTTGTTTAACAGCGATGCCGATCTTGGAGACGTTGGACACGGACTACACTATGAGCCCGGTGCTTCAGAACCTAGTCCATCAGTTGCGCACAGTGATGTATTGGATGGTTTTGCTTTGGACAATGCCGGAAGTGTCGCGGAAGTGGCCCAGCCAACTGTTTCAACTGCAGTTTACAATTCCATTTTTGCCAGGAACCTTTTCAGTAATTGTGATGCTGCATGCATAAAGATGCCGTGGGAAGAAGGGATCTTCAAGGAAATTTTTAGTGATGACATTTTGTCGGACGCCTTGGTCCCTAAGATGCCCGTTGCGAACCTCTGCAGTTTTGAAATGGACGCTCCCCCATTGACAGTTGCCGAAACCTTGGCCAGCGTCGCAAACCCTGTTCCAAGATTGCCAGTTTTTGAGTCTTGCATTTCCAGTGGAGATGACCTTCATTTTCACTCAAAGCGTCAGCAGCTCAGGGACGTTGCCATAGGTAAGTTTCTTGTTGTTTTGCGCTGCAACTTGGAAGCAAGCATTACTGGTAGACAGATTTTGGAGGAATGCACCAATGAACAGTCACAACAGAAGGCCTATGACATTGTGGATGCTGTTTTGGGGGTCAAATCACCTGCAACCCTCATCAAGAGAGCAAATGCGTTGTTGGCTTTCTTGCGATGGCATGACAGGGCTGGTAACGCTGATGCAAACCCTTTCCAGGAGCATGTTGTTTGGGATTATTTCCAATTTCTCAAGAACACTGATGCACCTGCAACCAAAGCCGATACCATGTTGTCTTCACTCAGATTCGCTTTGCATATCCTTGGCTTCTCTTGCCTTGCAGGTGCAGTTTCAAGCCGTCGCTTGGTTGGTGCATGCGAGTTGATGCTCTCAGGGAAGAGGCTGCTTAGACAGGCCTTGGTATTGACAGTGAAGCAAGTGATTTCCCTCCACACAATTCTAGAAGATGCTGAACGGCACATTGTGGACAGGGCGTTGGTGGCCTATTTGCTTTTTGCACTCTATGGCAGATGTAGGAACAGTGATCTTTTGGCAATTCACACCTTGACACCTGATTTTGGAGTCGCAGGTGGGTACGTGATTATCACCACGTGTAATCACAAGTCAGGAAGGATGGCTGCTCTGAAGACCAGGTTGCTGCCAATTGTTGTCCCTGCAAGGGGCGTTGATGGAAGCATTTGGGCAAGCACTGCGTTGAAAGTTATTTCAGAAGCTGGCTGTCCAACAAGGAATTTTGATGAGGGTCCCCTCCTGCCCGCTCCTTCGAACGGTTTTGGTGATTTCATGCAACGTGGTTTGAGGTCCTCTGAAGTTTCCAAGATGCTCAGGACCTTTTTGGGTACCAACAGTGATGTCAGGCCTGATTCGGATGAGATTGTATCAAGCCACAGCTTGAAGGCCACCTTGCTTGCATGGGCAGCACGTTTTGGCATGACCCCCCAGACAAGGTCGCTTTTGGGTCGCCACACGTCATGCCTCAATGAAACATTTGCCATCTATTCCAGGGATTTGGCCTGCGCCCCAGTTGCTGAGCTCCAGAGAATGATCGATGCCATTCATGATGGTTCATTCTCACCGGATGGTGAGCGGTCCACATTTTTCAGGGCCAATGCGGATGATGCGGAAAAAGACAAAGAGGTACAAGTGAAACTTGAGGGCCCTGGTGATGGTGATTTTATTTTGATTTCAGATTCCGAATGCAATGGACCAGTTGGCAGTGGCGAATCTGCAGTTGACAAAACTGTGGAACCCCCTGGGGGTGAGCTGGGTGTGGACAGCTCAGAGTCGGACTCTAGCAGCAGTGACGCTGGATCCTCAGGTTGCTCTGATGTGGAACTGGCACAACCAAGAGTCAAGAGGTTTAGAGCAAGAATTCCTTTGGATGAGAGTTGGCATGTTCATAGGAAGTCCAATCTTGTGCATCGATTCAATGGTGACGTTCACAATGATGTGAAGTTTCTTGTGTGTGGAAAACGCCTGACCGCGTCATATGTGCCATGCTCGGAAGCAACGGCTTGGAATACTTTGTGCAAGTCTTGTAACAGAAGGTGATTCGGCCAAAACCGGCCCTAGTTCACAAGGAGTGCATCTTGCAGTGAAAAGGTTGCTGTGGGATTTGTTGATGTGAAAAATTTGAGCAGTGGACATGCATCCACTTGACAGCTTGTGTGCACTGGCTTGGAGGGTGTACTCCAACGTACGGCACGGCAAAACCGCCTAGCCTTTACATGGTTCAAGCTCAACATGCATTTGAGCATGAGATGTTGTGCACAACACGAGTCAACTTTCTACTTAGGTCTCAAACCTTGTCTTTGTGATAACCTTTTCATCCTAACTTGCATGCTCCGCCACTTGCTGCACTCTTAGGTGTTTCACAAGCCCGTTGATTGCCATGGCATCCATAGTTGACTCAGAGGCACAGTTCGACCTCCGGTTGGAACAGGTGAAAGTCCCCGTTCAGTTACAGCAGGCCTTGAAGACGGCGGGTGTCAACACGATTTCATCACTAGCATATGCACATGGCCAACCAGGACAGCCAATTGTCGCAGCCGACTTTGAGGCATGGGTTAGGCAACCCGACCCATCCGCAACAGTTGGTGGAGTCTCGTCATTGAAGAGACTGCTATTTGAGAGTCAAACGCAGCTTCTGGCAATTTTGAAAGAGCAAGTCATGAACCCAGAGCCAAGTGTTGCAAGAAAGGTCCCGCCAGCTGAACGGGAGACACGGCTTGCAAATCTCAAGACTCGTCTCGTCGGAGTCCTTGTCGAAGGCCATGCTGAACCAAGCCACTCCCTTTTGGATGCTGCGACCCAATTGTATGACCAAAATGTCCTGAGGTTCATCCCTTTGGAAAAATGCTACAGTCGGTTGACGGAGCTGTCGTTCACCAACAAACCGCAGTCAAAGCTGTTGGAGGTCGAATCATCAAAGGTGGTGATCCGTGACAAAGACGCAGATTTTGAAGCGAATGTGCAGTCCTCATACCAGGCATTGGAGGCCTTCAAGAGACGTGGTTTAGCCCTAGATTTTGCCAATGTGATGACCTTTACATGCCATGACAAATATGTCCAGCTTTTGTTTGCTCACTTGAATAGGGAGCCACCCGCAGGCTACAACAGGTGCAGTGTATCACAGCTCCTTGCTGCCGACAAAGCAGCTTGGTGTTCCCTCATTGAGAAAAATGTGAAACCCAGACCGGACGCAGCGGGTGTGTTGGCCTTGGATGAAAAACTGGAGGAAGCGCTCAAGTCCTATGAGGTCAGCTTCACATTACTTCCTATGGTAGCAAAGGCTGCATCTGCCAAGGCATCGCCACCAACACCACAACCTGCGGCACCGAGGCCACAGCAGCCACCCCCGATGAAGGGTGGCAAAAAGGGGCAGAACCGATTCCGCCCATATGGCAAAGGAAAAGGAAAATCAAAAACCAAGTTTGATTCCAGAGTCCCAAGTGAGATACGTGCTGCAGGTGGTACTGCCTCAACGCCAGATGGGGACCCAATTTGTTTTGACTACTCCCTCAAGAAGTGCAAAGAGACCGTGACCGATGGCCGTTGCCGAAAAGGCTACCATGTATGCTGTATTTGCTATGGACACCATTGCATGTTGGACCATAAGAAGGCTTGACTATCCGATACTCCACAAGGATCAGTCAAAAGAAAATTTCACCCATGTACAGAAGAGCCTGTTGAACAGCCATTGGATGTTGAGTGCATCGAGCCCAAACGGGACAAGAAATCCATCGTCCAAGCAGCTAAGCGGGTTAGGGCCCACTCAGAAAGCAGGCACTTGCCAGTCTCACACTCACTTGACGAGGCTCAAGGTAATTCATGCAAATTTTCCAATGAAACATGTAAGCCCATTCATGTCGCACAGCCCGAAGCTGCCCAGAAGCTTGGCACAACTGCTGGTCAAGCAAAAGACCCTTTCATCCTCGAGATTTGCTCAGGCACTGCTAGGGTTACTTCATGTTTGCATGCCTTGGGACTTACCTCATCCTTTGGGGTAGACCACAAAAGATTGAAGAATGAGCCGTGTCAGCTCAAAGTTGATGCGTGGCCTCCGGGCCTCCCAGCCCAGGAAACCGTGAAGTGGTGGGGGCTCTTATTGGGGTGTAGCCTTAACCAATTCCCGGCGTAGTTCTTTTGTTGATTTGGTTCCATTTTGCTCCTTCCAACTACACTTGGATTGGCAGACATGTTCTCTTTCTTTGGTTTGATTTCGGCCTGGTCGGCCCTTCTCCTCCTCTGGAGCCCTTGTGCCGTTGCAATGGCATCTCATCAACCTGGACTGGCGAAAAGATGTCACTGGGAAACATCTGGCGAGAAGATTGGCATGGAATTGTCAGATAAATGTGAGCTTGCCCTGCAGGATGGCTCTTCCATCCATTCTTTGCAGATGATTTCCAGCGATACTCTCAACCCAGCAGCCAAAGGGATTGTCTTTGTCACCATGACCTCTATGCGGAAACTTCTGAAGTTGGAAACAACCAATCCGTGTGTTGCCATTGTGAAGGGCTTCCAAATCCAGCAGCTGATTAAGTGGGGATTTGAGAAGACAAAGCTTCAGCAGGCCATTTTGGTGCTGAAAGATTCCTGCACCATGGTTGTTGAGCCTAGAGCCGTGACCTTGGTGAATTTGTGTGACGACCCCGCTTGCTTCATCTTCAAGAATGAAGAAGGCTGTGAGATCACAGTTCCTGATCTGCAATCAGTTCATGTCATCTTCGAGATTCGGAAGGCAACGACCTCAGATGATTTCTGGCGAGCTTTCTCTGATTCCTCTGCTTTCTCTAGATACACGTCCCAGATCATTGAGAAAGAAGACCCTGAAGGTGAGACAACATTCTTCCCCACGGTGCCCAGAGAAGGATATGTCTTCAGGCGGGCCCTCATACCAGCCCACATTCGTGATCAAGTGTATGCGCATTCTGGCTTCAAAGGGATTACAGTGAAGTCTCTCCGGCAGACCAATTCACCACATGAAGATGGCTTGGAACTGATTAGGGTCCCTGAAACAGGGAAATCTCTTCACGAAATCTGGCACCAGGGACACACGAAGACTGGATGGCTAGGAGCCTTCTCCTCAGCAAAGGCAACTTACATCAGAAGCACAGATGCCAAATTGTCCGAGATGCGAGCGTTTTGGCTCCCTGATGACCCGAGATGGACTGCCAACAATCGAGACTTGAAGCTGACCAAGTTCTTCAAAGTCCAAGGGTTCGTTGTGGCGATACAGGCGAACGACGCTACCAAGATCATGCATGAGAAAGGATGGAACATGGTCGTGCTTCGAACCTTTCAGAACGCCGAATTGTCAACCCTGGTAGTTGGATCAAATTCAGATCCGCCACAATTGCGATTCACTACCAATTTGGGATCCTTGCTCATCACACCCCTAGAAGCACAGGATCGCGGACAGATTGCTAGGCAGAAGTTTGCGAAAGATCAGAGTCTTGCCAAGGCAGGCACTGCCGAAAAGAAGGGTGACACTACCCCCTCAACGGCATCATCAAGTTCCAATCTCGCAGCGGGTGATCCTTGGGCATCTGCAGCCCATGCCAACACAAGTAATCGGATTGATGCTATGGAAAAGAAGTTTGTGACCCTCAGCGCGCAGGTAGAAAAGCTGGAAAAGGGCCAAGAAACCACGAAAGAGCAGATTAGCACCTTGAAAGCCAGCCAGGATTCGGGATTTAAACAACTTCTTGATGCCATTGCTGATCTGAAGCTTTCGAAACCAGGTGAGTCTTTGAGCTCAACCCCGGTTCCATCCCCAGCGCCAAAGGTGGCAAAGTATCATTAAACTTCAGTTTCCCTGAATGTTTTTCTCTGTGTTTGCTACTTTTTGGTGAGATGGTTCTGGGCTTTCTTTGTGGGTTGCAGGGCGTCTCACTCGCCGGGGTGGTTGCTTTGGCTCCTTTCTATTGTGTTCTCATTAACTATATGTACCGGTTTGGGACCCTCTGCTGTAAGATACCACCCCGAAAATCTGAACAAGGGCGTTATGCCAGGAAACGCCGCAGTTTTGCCAGAAGAATGTTAGCCAGAAGCGCTCTCAGTGTCTTGCTCATTCAATCTTTTGTAATTCAACCATTCGCGACTCGACAAGCATGCGGCTCTGGCCGTATATTTTTTTGCTGTCATGCCTGCTCTTTCAGTTTTTCACCTGGGCGCAGGGCTTGCCAGCCCCCGCCAAATCTGAACGAGAACAGGACGACACAATTTTGTCGTTTGATGCAGCTCACATCCTTCATGACAAGTTTGTTCTATTTCGCTCATTTGTTTTCCCCATGTAAAGGTTACCCTGGTGAAGGGCCAATGCAGATTGCTACATTAAATGTCACATCATTGCCCAAAAGGCTTGATACAGTCCTTAACTTTGCGAACTCGTGCCCTGATTTGGGTTGCCTCATTCTTCAAGAAACACGAATACCTGCCAGCCGGGTCAATTCTTTGACACTTCGGGCCAGAAATGCTGGGTGGGACCTTTTAGTTGGACATCAACCCCCAATCAGAGCGATTAAGTCTGATAAGGCTTCTTTACGCCAATCATGGGGAGGCCTGGCTGCTTTGGTTCCTCGTGACCACCCAGCACGGCTGTTGTCATTTCAATCTGGGTGGAGCCATCTCGAAAGGGTATGTATGCCACTATGGATTCCTTCTGATGATGGGAGATCAGGATTTGTTGTGTTAAATTGCTACCTACCAAGCGGTCAATCTGTAATTGATGAGCGTGAAACTTTGCTGTCGGATATTTTCAGTTTTGCTTCCATTTTTGACACATCCCCCACAGTAGTTGGAGGTGATCTCCAATGTGCTCCGGAGGATTCCAGTGCACTTATGCAAGTATTGGCTTCCAATCGGTGGTCAGATTTTTATGCTGATTGTTGCAGATCCAGGAACTTAGAGCCCGAGGCCACCTACTCAGGAAATGGGTGGGCGTCAGGTTTTCGGGGTTTGAGAAAAACTCGAATCGACCATCTCTTTTTGAACGACTTGGCAAGATCAGCGGCAAAAGAAGCAAGCATCTTTCGAGGTCCAGTTGCGCCTGGTCACTGTCCAGTCGTTATAAGATTAGAGTGCCAGGTTTTCCATGAGATGGTTTTTGGGCTTAAACAACACCCTCAGTGGAACCTTCCCCCCAAACCTTGTTCTCAAGAAGAATGGGATGAAAGGGATGCAATTTGCCACCCGATCCTAACAAAGTATATTCCTTCGTTTGTTCGGGCAGCTGAAGAGGGTGACCCCCAAACTCTCTGGGATAGTTTGACCCGTATGATGCACGAGATGCTAAACTGTATAACTGGCCAGTTCATTCAGTCACGTAGGGGTGATATTCCGGTTTTCGAACAAAAGCCATTCCTTCCACCACCGTGTAAGCAAAATCAATATCAACAAGTTTCTTTAAAGATTCGTAAGCAATTGCATGAATTGTCCAAGAAAAACCAGCAGAGACATGAAGATAATCCTGTTTGGATGACTCACCTAAAGAGGACTTTGATTAATACCTCCAAGGGTTTGGGGACTTTAGGGTGCACGGTTCCTACACAAGGGTTCTCCCAACAACAAGTCACTGAATTCCTTAGTGCTGCTAACCAGGCATTGACAACATGTGATCTCGACAAACAAATGCAGGACTCCACTAAAGCCATCCATGAGTGGAAAGATCGACTTAGGATTTCCAATTCTGCGGATAAGAGGGAAGTTTTTCGATGGTTAAAAGGGGTTACCCCTTCGCACCCCAAAACACTTGTTCGCCCTGATGGATCCTTAACTGGGAGCCCTAATGAGATTCTTTCCCTCCTGAAAGATCATGCTGAAAAGATTTATAACCATCATCGGAATACCAATGAAGATGCACTTTTCGCACAATTTGTAAATATGTTTCAGGATGAAATCAACAGTTTGAAGAATCCAACTGAACTTCCCCCTTTTGATGCGGTTAACATGTGGAAACTTTTCCAAAAAAAACCCGCCAATAAAGCCACGGGTTTGGATGGATGGAAGATTAAGGAAATTCAAGTATTGCCACCGTGCGCATGGAAGGCCATCAAGCTTTTCTTCACTACTGTTGAAGCTAGTGGGAAGTGGCCCAAATCATTTCATTTGGTTTCCATTACTGCCATCCCCAAAACCCATGAATGGACCCCTGAATCTACCCGGGCCATTGGAATTACGTCAATTTTCTATTCCTTCTGGGCATCTGTCCGCTTCAAACAATTGGCGCCATGGTTGGGAAATTTGGCCCCCCCTTCACTCGCGGGCGGATTGCCCCATAGATCGGCTACCCCTTCAGAAATCGAATTATCTAGCCACTTGTTTGATTCGGACGAAGCCCCTGACAACACTTCTATCGTTATATTTATTGATCGTTGGAAATGTTTCGACCTGTTGCTGCCAAAATTTTGTATTCAACTCGGATCCACTCTAGGATTACCATCTCATATATGCCAACCGCTTACAGACTTCTATAACCATCAGGTCAAATTCTTCAAGCTCAATAACGCTTACGGAAATCAGGTCCTCCATTCCAACGGGGTCGTGCAGGGTTGCGCCTTTAGTGTTTTGTTTGCTAACCTGATTTTCTCTGTTTTTGCGAAAAGGATTGAGCAGTTTCCAGGGGTAACCTTCTCTGCGTTCATTGACGATACAAAGCTATGGGCTAGTAAGCAAGACCTACCTGAGCTCATCAAAGCAACCACAGTTCTCGAAGCTTTTGACCAGGCTATTGGCCAAGTTCAAAACAATGCTAAGTCTGCGCTCCTAACCAAAAAGGCGAAAGACGCCGACAGATTTCTCCTCCAAGTAGGCAAACAGATTCCCCACAGAAAGCGTGTCAAGTCTTTAGGGTTTCAACAAGCAGTGACGACAAAGGGACTTGCTAGAGCCGTTGACCTGAAAACGAAAGCAGCTGCTGCAACCATTCGGAAAATGGGCAAGCTTCCATTTCCAGCCAAACTCAAATCAGGATATATTAAAACTGCAGGTCATAGCCGATGGTTATATGGGTCTGAAGTTGCCCCCCCGAATAAGAAAGCATTTAATTATTTGAGGACAGCTGTTGTCAATACTGTTTTCCCAAAGAAAAACCGGATGAGATGCCCTTTGTTGACCATGTCTACATGGGATAATGTTTGGGTTGATCCTTGGGCTATTTGGGTTAGACATGTCTTGCTCACATATAGAAAGTTACACCGCCGTCAGCCCGACTTGGTGGCAAAAGTTTTTCGTCAAGCCCGACAGATCAAACCTTATGCCATTCGAACTTCCTCTGGCGCTCCAGCGGTTCTGGCCGCTGTCGTTCGGGAATTGGAATGGGAATGGGCCGACGGTTTGTCCTTCAAACGGCCGGGCGATACAGACTTCAAACTCCTCTATGGCAGCAACAAATTTTTCGACGATGACTTGGAACGATCCGTCAGGCGTTCACTTTTCCGTAGATCCCCAATAAGGCATGACAACTTAGGCGACTCGCGGGACGGTGTGATTAATATGTTCGCGACGCGATTTTTCCTCGACAACGACTTCTCCACTGTAGTACCTGCACCTGGCTTAGTAGAACAACTGCGGAATTTACCAGTCAAACTTGACCATGCCCAAAATATCACCCAAAATTTCTTAGCCGGATCAATTTTTGACGGGCCCCGTAAATTTAAAGCAGGCCTGGTAAATTCCCGAAAATGCGAACATTGCGATGCAGACGATGCTCTCTTGCATATGTCCAAACATTGTCCAACGAATCCGCCGCCGGAAGTTTCAGTGCAAATGCCGGATACGTCATGGACCATGGGTGTTCTATGGGAAAGCGAGCGTGACACACAGTTCCGTTTACAACAAGACCAACCATTCCAATTTGGCGATTTACCTCCAAAACATGTACTCCAACCGGGCGACCGAATTTTTACTGATGGCAGTTTTATTCGCTCAAAGTCGGGTAGACTAGAGTCGGCAGCTTGCTCAGTATATATTCCGCAAATATTGCAGCTGGCAAGACCCCTCCCAGGGCTCGACCAAAGTTCACAAAGAGCCGAGCTGGGAGCGATCTTGCTGGCGTTAAAGGTAACAGACGGAGACGCCCATATTTTTACCGATTGTGCAACCATAGTCAAAGGATTTCGTGAACAAAGTCGTAATGCACAAGGCTTTTCATCTTTGCGTTCTTGGGACAATTTTGACTTGTGGGCACTCATAGCCGCTGAAACAAGTTTAAACCATCGAACAGTACATGTATCCAAAGTATCAGCTCATGGACGTGACCCAAGTCAAGACCCTGGTTTAACTGAAGGCAATGAAAAAGCAGACGCATTAGCTAAGAGTTTATGCCAACGACAGTTCCAACAACATTCTGATCATAGCGTGTGTGATGTCAACTGTAATCTAGCTGTGCAAATTCATTTGATCAAGTCCTTTGTGAATAGGAACTTGTTAACCCAGCCACCGGATCATGATCAGATTGTTGACCGCGCTCTATCTACACTTAAAGTCGCCACAGCTCGTAAGTGCACTTGCCCACCAAGCCGTAGGATAAGGGGCAAAGCTCCTGCTCCTGTTTTGTGCCGTGGAACTTGTCTAACTACATTGGTAGTAGGGGAGTTAGAGCGATGTTTCCTGAACTTGCTCAACTCTGGCGCTTTCGTTCCCAATCGCATTTGGGATGCGCTCAAACAACAATATCCCAAATTCAATCAATGGGTGACACATCGAACCGCAGTTGTCCAAGGGTTAGATGTCTCAAATTCACCTGTACCTAAAGCTGTTAGCTCTCCGCATTGCGCTGATGCCATTCACCGGTTTATGCGCGAAGCGTATTGGTGCAGTGGAACATCGCCAATCACTGCTTTTACCCCGTGGTCCATTGTTTTGATTGACTTTATCTCAAGGTTGGGTTTTGTTTCTCCCCTTTTTAACCAAGATATGGGCTTTGGACGACTAATACATCGATGTCATCGCTACCTTAAAGATTTAATCTCTGAGGCATTGCCGGGCATTGACACTTCAGTTATCAACAATACGTTAGGCTCTTCCTTTGGGTTACGGTGTCAGGTAGCTCTAGGCATTCACCTGGTCCCTGTCAATCCCACCAATGTCTGGTCAATATATGTACAAGCTTGCCTCTATTGCTCCAGCTCTTTTCTTGACGGCAAGAAATTCCGCTCTAGCTGGAAACCAGATTGGGGGTGCTTTGACACCCGGATGTGAGCTGCTGTCGCGAATTGCACGCTTTTGTTAGTTTCTGTCTGAGTGCCTGTAAGGCTTTAAATTGCAATGGGAAAAAAAAACACAAAAGATTGAAGAATTCTGGCCGCGTTTTGGTTGCAGACCTTACCACACCTGAAGGCCAAAGCCTCTGCTGGGAGTGGATTCGTTCACCTAGCTGTGCAGGAGTTTTCTGTGCGCCTCCATGTGGAACTTGCAGCCGGGCGAGAGGCATACCAGTCACCTTGCCGAATGGTTGCGTTGTTGCTGGACCCCAACCCTTGCGCTCTGAGGCCTTCCCAGACGGCCTTGCTTCCATGAGTTACCTTAATAGGTGTCGGGTCAAATCAGCCAATGCCCTTTACCAATTTATCACCGAGGTAGTTCAGTTTTGCCTGAACCATGACATGGTAGTTGTCATTGAAAACCCGCGCTCATCCTTGTACTGGCGAACTTCCTTTTTCGCACCAATTCGAAAATGCCTAAAGTTTACAGCTCATCAAGCTTGCGCTTACGGCTCGGAGCGTCCTAAATGGACGGTCCTGGCTCACAATACAACTACACTGCATGAGGTTTGTAAAACATGCCCCGGACTTAGCCGGACCCACAAGCATAAACCGTGGGGTGTCTCAGTAGGCCCCGATGCCTCACGGAAGTTTTCTACATCCGAAGAGACAGCTTACCCCATGTTGCTTGCATATACCATGGCGTATGCCATTGCCCAGCACCTGATGCACAAGGGTTGGCAGCCGCCACCAGCGCAACTGACACCCCCGGACAGAGTGTCTTTTCAATACTTGCGTGCAATCGCTGGCTCCCAACCCAAAGCTAGCAAGCTACCACCATTGCTGTCTGAGTTTGAGTCCATCATCCGTGTCCCGGTGTCCCTGTCCAGTCCCCAGGTCGAAATTGGTCAAGTCCTGCAGCAGCCCTTTGCCAGTGTCCCTGCCGGAGCCAGACTCCTCAAACGGCCGCCTTTACGGTTAAATGGGGATAGTAATGACTGTAAGATTGGCCCAGTAAACCTTGACTGTGGGGATAACCTTAAGGATGATAACACCCATTGGGCTTACTTTGGGGTTTACCGATCTTGTGAAGCCTTTGTTGAAGCTGCAGTAGAGGCTGGACACCCTGTCTCGAAAGCCAATCGCCTTCCCTTGGTGTTGCAAGAAGCTGTCGATGCCATTGCCGCTAAACCAGTTTTTCAGCTTGCGAAGGAAAGACACGCCACCTTGTCTTATTGGCTTGAAAGGGCAAAGGCCCTGAACCCAGCGGAGAGTTGTTTGCACAGCAGCCTTCCTGAAGCCCTCGGTAGGATACTCGCCCCGAAGAGGTTACTGTTGTGGAAAGAGATGCTCATCCATTACGGTTACCCAGATGTAGAAGTATATGACGAAGTCGTGACTGGTATCCACCTGGCCGGGACCGCGCCTACGGTTCCATCCTTTGACCCTTGCTTCAAGCCCGCGAAAGTCTCAACAAAAGAGCTAGCTGATTCTGCCAGAGCATCCCGTGGAGCAATGCTGTCATCAATCCGCTCTTAGATCCCGAGATTGACGCTGCGGTATTTGAAAAGACACTCGAAGAACTGAGTTGCGGCTGGCTGGCAGGACCGTTTGAGGCCAGCGATTTGCCCAGTGATGCAGTGATCAGCAGGCGATTTGGTATCCGTCAGTCATCAGGGGAGGGCTCCAAGATTCGTTTAATTGATGACTTTTCCGCCTCAGGGGTCAACGACACTGTCCAGGTGGAGAGCGCTTCAAAATTACACACGCTGGATGTGGCCGCTGCGCTCTGCTTAGAGCTGCTAAGGACGTCGGGCCAAGACGTGTGGCTAGGCAAGACGTTCGACCTTGCATCAGCATACAGGCAACTTGGTGTCGCTCCAGGCTCCTATTGGGTTTCTTATATTGCAGTTTTTGACCCCAACGCGCAAGGACCCAGAGTGTTTGCTATGAGGGCCCTCCCGTTTGGTGCCAACCGTTCTGTATACGGTTTCCTGAGAGTGTCCCACTCACTCTGGTGGCTGGGGTGCAAAGCGTTGAACTTTGCCTGGAGCAACTTTTTCGATGACTTTATCACCTTTGCAAGGAAGCAGGAATCTGAGTTGGTGTCAGTGGCGGCTTTGCAGTTCTTCAAACTTCTTGGATGGGGTGTCTCACTTGGGGACAAAGACTTGCCATTTGCTGAGAAGTTTAAAGCCCTCGGAATCGAAATCGACTGCACCAGGTGGCAGGACGGCGTGGTTGCTTTTTCGAATACGGAAAAACGTACGAAGGAGCTTGTGTCCACCATTGATGCCATTCTCTCCACTGCCAAGCTTACCAAACAAGAAGCATTGGTTCTCCGAGGTAGAATGCAGTTTGCCAAGGCCCAGTTGTGGGGGAGAGCAGCAAAGCTCTGCCTCACTGCAATCACGGCACATGCGTTTGGTCTTGATGGTGATGTACCTAGCGACCGAACCCTGTCTTTCCTGAGAGCCTTTAGGGAGCACCTTTTGCAATCGAGGCCCAGACTGATAACCGCTGCCTGGGGAGCCCCGCTTTTCCTTTTCACTGATGCCTCTTTCTCACCCGAAGAGACAGAGTGGCCAGCTGGGATAGGCGGAGTGTTAGTTGACTCGCATGGTAACCAGTTGAGCGCCTTTTCTTATAAGCTTGAAATGACGGACCTGCTGGCCCTGGGGTACCCTGCTAAGAAAACAGTGATCTTCGAAGCTGAGCTGTTGGCACTCCTTGTTTCCTTCATCTTGTTCAAGAGAGTCTTGAAAGGGCGGCCATGTGTGGCCTACGTTGACAACAACTCGACCAGGGATGTCAGCATAAGTGGGGTTGCCCGTACTTCCCCTGGAGATTGCTTGATTAGCCAGTTGCTCGAAGTCGAGGACTCCTGCAGCGTCATACCTTGGTTTGCCCGCGTCCCATCTCAAAGCAACATTGCAGACGGCCCCTCACGAGGGTCAGTGGATGAACTGAAAGTCAAGCCTCTGTCTCCGCAGTTGGTAAGCCTCGTGGTTGCAGAGTGCCTCAAGGGCCTCCTGCCAAAACCGGTTAAAAGGGGTGAGAGTTGAAATTTGGTTGAACAAATCAGACGCATGTGTGGTGCGTATATGGTATGAGTGAACCTGGGGCACCCAGGAATTTTGCTACAGAGTTTTTGCCCGCCGACCTTCTGCGGCTGCTTTACCATGGATGGCACAATGGATGTTTTCATGCCGGTCAAAGTGACCATCACCTGCACTATCGACAATTCCCAACGTTGTCGGTCAAAAAGAAGTGGTGCGCCATTGGAGTGATGTCGTTGAGTGATCGCATGTTTTGCTGTGTTTTCGGTTTTTGGTTTTTTTGTTTCGTTTCCACTTGTAACGAGGAGGTATTGACTGGTAGGCGACGTAAGCAGGAATTTAAGCTTACGGTCAACGTGTTGATAGTGCATTAAATTACAGCTGTAGAAAAGTTTGATTGCAAACTTTTAGCCTACCAGCCTTGCCTGCAAATAACAAAGCGCCTTGCATTTGCCAAACCTGGTGCACCAGCCACACAACCCTTAACTAGCAAACATGCCCGGCTCTTGGATATTACCATTATCCAAACCGTGTAACTGTACAACAAGAGCTTCAATGCCAGAACTGGAACATGCCCGGCTCTTGGATGTCGAACCGCGAATCCAAACCGTGTAGTGCCAAATCGAAATTTTATTTCAACATGGACAAATTCCTTTTCTTTTCTGAATGCTCACTGTGATGTTTTGACAACAGCAACCTGGCGGACATGTTGAATGGTGGAAACAGATGAATGCTTTTACTCAAGTGGCCTTTTCGCTTCAAGGGAAAAATTTGTGCTCCCACCCGTTTTCCAACTTCCCGCCCTGGGATACATACATATGCAGGCACCAAATATAGTGGACTTTGCTGTCGCAACGTCCATCGGCGTCATGTTCTTTCAGGGAACCAATACAGACTCCCGAGTCCGTCAGTTCGAACAGATAGCAGAGACGTGCATCCGTCTCCTTCAGCATCTGGGTCGTCCACCCTATCTTAAGTCAATTTTCGACTTATGGGTGACAACAACGGCTGCATTGGCACAGCTTGAGCGCATGCTCTTTCCCACCGAGCCGGTCCAAACTCCAACGCATTTGACATCTCCTCCTGGTTGGAGACCGCTTTCAGCGGTATGCGAGCCTACGTTTCGGGTGCACCATGCAACATTGCGCACTGGCCGGGTGAATTTACAACAATTTCGAGCTTGGTTTTGTGACCAATACGACATCTATCTGCACCACGAAACGTTGAATATGATTGACGATGCTTTATTATTGATGGAGTCGGCCGAGCATTTCCTCCAGCTCAATACAGTTCCGACTCCAGATGACCCTGTTGATATTCCTGACTCAACAGGAGGTGACACTACAACCCCTGCACGGGCTCCTGCTTTGCGACATCGACAGGTCCCTCCTCCGGATCCATGGCGGGGTGAGAGTTGAAATTTGGTTGAACAAATCAGACGCATGTGTGGTGCGTATATGGTATGAGTGAACCTGGGGCACCCAGGAATTTTGCTACAGAGTTTTTGCCCGCCGACCTTCTGCGGCTGCTTTACCATGGATGGCACAATGGATGTTTTCATGCCGGTCAAAGTGACCATCACCTGCACTATCGACAATTCCCAACGTTGTCGGTCAAAAAGAAGTGGTGCGCCATTGGAGTGATGTCGTTGAGTGATCGCATGTTTTGCTGTGTTTTCGGTTTTTGGTTTTTTTGTTTCGTTTCCACTTGTAACGAGGAGGTATTGACTGGTAGGCGACGTAAGCAGGAATTTAAAAGTGTTCAAAACATGGCTGCGATAGAGGGACCTCGGCAGTAGCAAGCGGCCTTGGGACGCACAAAGAGAAAAAGGTATGTGTTGACATTCATGTTCAAGCTGCTGGGTCGCAAATCTGCTTGCAAAACATTTGCGGGCAGCAACGAAATTCTCCGATGGCTGACCCCATTTTTGGGTCCAAATATGGACCCCAAAATGGGGTCCAGAATTGGATCACATTTTCATTCCTTCTTTTAGGTCTTTGCTTGGGCCCCGTTTTGGGGTCCAGATTTGGACCCAAAAGTGGGGCCAGCCATCGGAAAATTTTGCTGCTGCCCGCAGATGTTTTGCAAGCAGATTTGCGACGCAGTAGCATGAGCGTAAGTGTTAACACATGCTTTTTCTCTCTGTGCGTCCCAATTTGTTTCTTGTACAGTATCGCGCAAATGATTAAGCCAGCAGGAAGTGGTGACCCACCCCCTCAAGTAGCACAGCTAGTAGCACCAGGAGCCACGAACACCCCAGCGCCAGTCAGCCCGTGCAGTTCCAGTAGTCTCACACGGTCAACGTGGGGTACCCACGGCTGCCACACATGACAAGGAACCACTGTGTAGATAGGTGCTGTCACCATGGGGTACCCATGGTTGACTACTGCCTGTAGAACTGACGAGGTGGTAAGCTTGCCTTTGTAACTATGGTAAGGGAGGAAGGGGGAGGGGGACAATTGTAACACTTTTAATAGGCCACTATATGTATTTAGTTACTGGTAGCGTAGGATGATGTCAAAGTTCATCAAGCCATGGCGTTGCTGTTTTGCTCAGCTCAATCCAGTACCTTCATTGCTCGAATGTCGCCTGGCCATATGAGTACAGCGCAGCCGAGTGAAGTGGCATGCCTGCCTCAAGAACCCCAGAGTCACAATGAGGCACAAGATCTCCTCCTTTTGCAGGACTATGTTTGCAAACTGACGCACACCCTCAGAACACTGGAAGACACCTATGCCTTATTGCAGCAAACAGATCTCCTTGCAGGCGTTATCAACGAGCAAGATTGCAGAGACATTCGCACAGCCTGCTGTTGCATAAGGAGTCTGCGCATTCGTGTAGCGGCCCGAGCCAATGTTACAGAACGTGAAGTTATAAGTCGGCAGCTTCATGCAAGCGAGTGTGCAGCATTACCCGACAGAGGACCTCAACACAGCTGACACAAGTTGCCTGTCCAGAACCTCGGCTGAACACTTTGATAACAGACCTGGTCCCTGTTCAGAGGAAAACGCTCGCATCCCTGTATCAATGTGACTGAGCCAGCTACCATGGCCAACCGGCCCGCATCAATGCAATTGGTTGCAACGCCTGCAAGTTGCCCGCTCGAGGAGCTTCACGCTTGCAAGCCTGCATCAATGTTGTCGAGCTAGTGATCATCGCTAACTCGATCGCATTGGATTCAGTTTTGAAAGCGGTATGCACCGCAAAAGTGCATTACAGCTCCCATGATGATGATGCTTGGAAAAGAACAACTGAGCGGACTCTGAGCGTGCCCTGAGTGCCGTTGCTATTGCTGTCATTTTCACCTTAGATCTTGTTTCACCTTCCTGTTTCACCGTTTTTTCGTTTCTCACCACTCCCGTTGCGACCCGGCGTTTGCTTCGGAGTGCCTGGGTAATGTCATGCCTGTACGGCTGCTCTTTGTGATCTCGGGGATCCTGGCTGGGGGGATCCCTGGTTTCCGCATGGAGCTTTGTTGCT